GATTTGTCCATATGGACCCAAACATTCTTTTTACTGCATTTCTTTTCACGTGGGGAATCTTTTGATGCTTGACTTCATCATTAAGTAGGAGAAAAAAATGCTAGATTGGCTTTTATACAGGATCTTAGAACTGAGAGCAGGAAACTTATAAACTTGAGTGCACAAAGGGGAATTTATCTCTGCAGGGGGGTTAGATTGAGGGGTGTCACTGTGAGCTCCATGCGGGTGGATCCACCCTGTCATATGCTCCATGACTTGCCAGCATCCAGCATGACGCACGGGACAGAGCATGTGTTTGCAAGGAAGGGAGGAAGGGAGGGAGGGAAAGAGGAAAAGAAAGAATATGTTCTCTTCCTGACTTCAGGAGCTCCATGGAGTTTCTAGTTAAACAAATACAAATGATTGAGAACAGTGTGACCTTGGAGCCCATAAATTGTCCAAATCCTTGTTCGACCCATCTGTTTGCATGCCAGAGAAATATTAGCACCCAGGTCTGGCCCATATCATCTCAACCTTCTGACCACATTGCTTTAAAAACCGGTTTTGGTATAGAGGCCCTGGACAAAGATGGGAGCCAACTTTTCTAGAGAGGGTTGGAGAGACAAGCCTGAGGGCTATAACTTGCCAGAGCTCTAGCTATTTGTAGTGGTTGCTACATTATGAATCACATTACTGTTCTTCAGGATCTGAGCCAAATGCAAGGACTTCTACACTGACTGTGTGAAGTAGGCACCATCATTTCATCTTGTAGCTGGAAAAAAAAGTTTCAGAAAGCAGTGATTTGCTTACAATAAAAAAAAGAAAAAGCAATTTGAAGGTCACGGAGCTGGACTAGGTGGAAGCTGATGAGGCCCTTTCCTAAAGCACAAATTTATGGTGGTGTCAACAAGCTCTGTAATCAAGACAAATGATTTTTAATAACACAGAGAGAGAAATAAAGAGGGTCTCTGTCACCCACGGGAGAGTGCTGTGGTGTCATAGCTCACAGCAACCTCAAACCTTCTGGGTTCATGTGATCCTTCTGCCTCAGCCTCCTGAGTAGCTGGGACTATAGGTGCCCACCACAACACCTGGCTATTTTAGAGACAGAGGTCTCACTCTTGCTCAGGCTGGTCTCAAACCCATGAGTTCAAGCAATCCTCCTGCCTTGGCCGTCTGCAGTGCTGGGATTACAGGAGTGAGCCTTTGTGCCCTAGGATTTTGTGATATTTTTTAATCAAAATTTAAAAATTCATGGTGGATACCAACATTTAAAACAAAGACTTGTGAGATTCACCTCATTTCCTTACCTTGGTCCCAGACCTGGATTCTACAGCCAGATTCTAACTCAAGTCTGGTGAATTCTGAGGCTTTTAAGCCACAATTCAAATGGGAGCATAGACCACAGTAGGATGGAGTAGAAGCATTGAATAGATCTCTAGGGTGAGGCTCTGCCTGCCGAGCAAGGCAAGCAAAACTGGAGAAAAACTTTCTGTAGCTCCAGGGCTGAGGGTATTGGGTGGACGGGGAAGGGGGGCTGGAAAGTATTGAGAAGAGCCCTGGCCTAGCCAGAGGCTCAGGCTCACCCTTGTCCATCCCCGATTTAAAGCCAAACCCAAGCCAAGATCCCCAGGTGGAACAGAAGGACGCAGATTCTACACCATGGGCCTCTCCCACCCTTGCCCCTCACTACAAGCTCTGATGTTAACACCTTTGTACCAAAGGGAAAGCTGAGATCAGGGCAACAGAGATCAACTGTCCAAAATGGGATCAGCCAGAACCTTCTGAGGGCTTCTCTGCCTGCCCTGGCCCTGGAGAAGAGCAACTCTCCTTTGTGGGTGGGTGGTCTTGGACTTTCTAGAGCTCTGGGTCCATCAAGAAAGAGGCTAACAGTTTAAAAGAAAGCAATCTCAAAGGACTACAGGCATTACAGGACTACAGGACTACAGGAATTGGAAGCAAGAGATTTAAAGAGAAAGTGAGCAGCTGGGAGGGGGCTGGAGTCCTGCAAAGATGGCCCAGAGCAGGAAGCTTGGATATAGGAGCAGCAGTTCTGGATCTGGGTGAAGACTGAGTCATCCTGGGACCCTGGCCCTAGAAGTGCCCTAATAACACTAATTTCTTTTCCTTGCCTTGAGGCCCCCACACTCCTGCCCCTGGGCCATCCCCTGGGGAGGAGGCCAAGAACTGCTGAGGGAGAGGGTTTGGGCTGGGGAAAGAGGTCTGCGTCCCCTCCCTGTGTGTAAACAGGGGCTCAGAGAGGTCAGGTGATTCTCCAGGTTCCACATCCGGCTCTTTTAGGCCTCCAAACCTCCCGATACCCCACCACAAACCAACCAGGCTTCTTTCCTGGTAGATTAAGGGTCTACTGGATGCTTAGGAAAATGCAAATTCCTGGGCCCCTTCACAGCTAAACAAGAGCTGGGGTGAGTGTACACACACCTCTCAGGTGGCTCAGGCTGAGATGCTAGAATCACCCACATTGGAAAAGAGAAGAGGAGGAGGCACCTATGTGGAGCTGGAAATCCCCAAATAGGAATAAAACCATGTTAGTGAGAGAGGGCTAAATCCTAGGGTAAACTCCAAATGAAGTAAATCCCATAGCATGTTTTATATAGTAATAGACGGCAGTAATTCAATACTAATGAGGGCAAACCAACAACTTGATATTCTTGGGCTCCGAGAAGTGCAGAAGCAGCTGGTGAGGGCCGCAGGGGCTCGGTCCACACTTCTTTTTTGACCCCTCAACTTTCATGGCACCCCCACTCCCTGCTCTGGCTCTGACCTGGCCACAGCACCTAGTGCCTCCAGAGGCTTTGCTTTTTTCAGTGGGCCTGGGATCTAAACCCCAGCACAGGACCCCGAGGCCAGAAAAGGTCCCAGCACTGCCAGCTGCACGTCCTGGGAAGAGGCAGCTTGAGACTCTCCCGTGGGCAGAGGATACTCTTGGGGTCCAGTTGGTTCCATCCATCTTTGCCCAAGGACGAAACCATGGCTACAGGAGGAGTGTCTGCCACCCGACAATCAAGTGGGACCTCAGAGGCTCCCAGGTAGATCAGATTTCTCGAGGGATGTGAGGGTGGGGCAGGCCAGAAGAAGCAGGGGAGAAGTGGGCAGTGGGGAGGGAGGTGGAGTCTCCAGAGGTGCCCAGGAGCAGGAGAAAATCACAAGCTGGGGGCTGCCTGAAAGGGCCCGAAAAGTCCTCTCCCCTTGGGTTTATGGTCGCCTCCCCATCCACCAAACTGAAATGAACGACCAGCGGGCTCCTCCTGCCATGGGAGGCGCCCACAGCAGCGGCCGGCCAGCAAGCCAGGGCCGGGAACCCCGCCTTCCCAACAGCTTGCAGCCGAGCTGGGCTGCCATCCCCCTGGGAGCCGCCGGTCCTCACCCCCAGCCCGGCCAGCAGCCCGGCCGCTTCCAATCTGCTGGCGGGTGCAGGGGGAGAGTGTGGGGAGCTGGGCGTGAGGCCACTGCTGACCTTGCCTGAGGGAGGAGAAACTTTCTGCCCCACCTGGCCCAGCCTGGCTGCCGGGGCCAGGCCTCGGGTTTGGGGGTTTTCAGGTGCCTCATAATTCTGCTGTGGTCAGATGCTGAGCCTGATGTAGGATCCTGGGTAGTTGTCTGGGGCAAGAGGGGGTAGTAGAAGCATGAGGGTCAGCCTGGAAAAGCCTGGACTCTCAGACGTCTGGAAGGGCACATGGGCCCCACCGGATCCTTTCTGCAGGTGCCTGGGCTCCGCTCCCTCTGCCCTTTGGCAGAAGAAACCGGGGCTGGGCAGTCTGTCCAGGGTCCTGGGCCCCAGCACCAGAGACTGCTCCCAGAATCGTACACTAGAACACCATAAAGGAGCGGCCAGGGCGAGGGAGCTGTATTCACAATGAAAAGGTTAGGGTTCCAGCCATCCAGGTGAACTCCAGCTCTGCACACAGTAAGCTGATCACTGCACTTTCTCACATTCCTATTCAGAGACACAAAAATACCAGCCTCCGCAAACGTGCTCCAGGGAGGGGCCGCTGGTCAGGCAAGGGGAACTCATTGCCTTCTTTGTCCATTCCGCGGCCTCCCTCGGGTCGCAGGGACTTCTCAGGGTTGCCCTAACGACCCGACACGACCTTCGGTGTTATCGACCCTCGCCCTGGAGTGCAGCCACCATTCTGATCACTTTCTGGGCTGACACCAGGCTTTCCTCACCCCGGCCAAACCTGCAAGGCCCAAAGAGGCCAGAAAGGGCCGGCTGCAAATTGCCCTACACGGGAAACATCTAGAACCCAAAAGAAATGCCCTTAAAACAACATAACAGATTAAAATTTCTTCCCCACACTAGAAATGGGGTTCTTGGCATACAGGTACTTCTTTCTTCCATTGGGGTTAGTCGTTTTCTGTAGCTGGAGGAAGGAAAAGGGGGGAAGAATAAGGATTTACGACATACCCGCGGACAAATAATTTGAATAACTGCGGGAAAGGGTCACGGAACACTTAAAAAAAAAGCAAAAAAAACGACCATCCATCCCAACCCACTGGTAGCGGCAGCCAGCTCCGGCCCCCTCCCCGCCAGCCATACCCCCCTCGGCTAATCACCCTCAGAGCTTCATCACCGGCCTAATGAAAGCAAACCGTGTGGAAATCGCCGGTAAACAGTTGGGTCTGTGCTGTAATTAATTCAGTGTCTCTTTTAATCAAACTGAAAGGGAATCGGGCAGCGGCTTGCGGAGCCGTGACATCACCCCCAAAATCGACGGAGCCAATCAGCGTCATCACTCCGGGGACACGTGGGCGAGTCCCCTTTTAAAAAAACACAACACAACGAAAAAAAAAGAAACAACAAAAAAAAACACCCAGCCCCAAAGTAAAAGTGACACAAGTTCATTTTTTAAAGGAAGGGGGGGAGGAGAAGGCGCGCACGGACCGGCCGCGAGCGGCAGGCGGCAGCTTTCTCCCAAAGGACTCTCAAAATGCCTAAGCTTATCTTCAGAAAACTTTTCATTTACTTTCAGTAATCTATCAGCAACGGCCTTCCGCCGCTATCCGCGGTGCTGACGCCGCCAGGTGCGCTCGGCTCCGCCGGCTGGTAGAGCGACCGGGGCCCGCCACTATCCGCGGTGCTGATCCCGCTGCCCTCGGCCACCGCTCTCCCGGAGGAAGCGTGGTGCGGTTTGGATTTTTTAAAAGCCGTTCTTTATTTAGATTACAACCACCTCGCGTTTTTTTTCTGTGCCAAGGGGGCCCTCAGGCCGTCCGTCTCCCCCTTTGCTCTCCCCAACTTGGCGCGCCCTCCCTTTCATTCCTCCCTGACACTCCCACCACCCCCCCTCGGCTCGGCGGCTCGGCGCGATGCTGCGGAAGACGCGCTGAGCCCTCTTGGATCTAATGCGCAGAGGAGGTTGGCCCAGAGCTCCTGGGCTCCCCCAAGGCTGAACTCCGTCCAAGGTGCCCGCAGGCTCCCTGCCCGCCTTCCCCATGCCAGACCGCAGCTAGGGGCAGGGGCAGCGGCGGCTGCGGCTGGGGGTGGGTGGGGAGCTTTTGGGGAGGACAGGTCGCAGCTTGGCTATGGAAGGCTCCAATGGCTTTGGGATCGACTCCATTCTCTCCCACCGCGCGGGCAGCCCCGCCCTTCCCAAGGGGGACCCCTTGCTTGGGGACTGCCGTTCGCCCCTGGAGCTGAGTCCACGCTCAGAGAGCAGCAGCGACTGCTCTTCGCCAGCCTCTCCAGGAAGGGACTGTCTGGAGACGGGCACCCCACGGCCTGGCGGGGCATCCGGCCCAGGTTTGGACTCCCACCTGCAGCAGGGGCAGCTCTCAGCACCGGCCCAGTCGCGCACCGTCACCTCCTCCTTTCTGATCAGGGACATCCTCGCCGACTGTAAACCACTTGCGGCCTGTGCACCCTATTCTAGCAGCGGGCAGCCGGCAGCCCCTGAGCCTGGGGGCCGTCTTGCAGCCAAGGCCGGCGAGGACTTTAGAGACAAACTGGACAAAAGTGGCAGCAATGCTTCGTCAGACTCTGAGTACAAAGGTAAGAAAATGGGAGGTGAAAACTTAGAAGAATGTTAGCTATCTAAGAAGTGGTATGTAAAACTTGTATGCACACACTTGGGGACATGCACGTGCTCACCTGCTCACCGTGGAGCTCCCCCAGGGCTCAGGTTGAGCAGTTGGTCTTGTCCAAACATCTCAGCCAGTCTTGTGTTTAGGCCTTTGGGCAACAAAGAGTCCAGTGGAGAGAATGGGGGAGGGGAGGGATACTGTGCCTGAGGAAAGATTCCCGGAAATGCACAGAGCAAACTTTCTAAACTCCACCTGGGGCTACTGCCCATCCAGTGGGGCTCGCGGCCCATGTGTTCCTATCAGAACAGTGGCTCTCTGGGAAGAGATCCTGCAGGAAAAATAGACCCAAAGGGTTCTGTTGATAAGAGTGAAAATCTAGCCAGAAAATTTCAGCTGGAGTCCCGAGGACGGTCAAAATTTTCTGCCCTTTAATCGAAATTTCCAGGCAGAATGAGAAATGGAGCTTTCCTTTTCACTGGGCCCAGTGCAATCGGGGTCCTGAGATCAGGCTGAAGGGGACACTCACTTCCAGGCAAAACAGCAGCGGGCCGGCAGGTTCAGAGCTCCAGTGCAGAGGGGAGGACCCTGAACCCGTCCGTGGGTTCTCGCTGAATTTTAACAGTTGCATGGCCAAGGGGGGCTGTCAGGGATTGACCCCCTCCTCCACCAAACGGGATTTTCACACATCTAGCTAAGCGGGATGACAGAAAGTGGCAAAACCACTGCGACGTGGGGTGAATCCCGGATCCCCATCCCCAACGGTGTGCGACTGGGCATCGTGCAGGGAACTCCAGACTGTGTTTGAGACCTAGAAATCGCTGAGTAACCAGTCCCCCTGGGCCTTCCTAGGTCGGGGCTGCTGCCCCTCCATTTGCCTTTTTTGTTTGTTTGTTCCTTTTTCATTCTGTCTTAATTAAGGAGCTGAGATCAGGATTAAGAGGAAAGGAAAGGAAGGAAAGGAGGAAAGAAATTTAAAAAGGAGAGAGGAAAGGAAGGAGTTTCTTGATTTTGTTTCTGACCTCTAGCCATTACTTCAACTTCAGCTGTTTGTTGGGGCCAGAGACACAAACTTCTTTCTAAGGCAGAAGTCAAGAGGCAGATGTGAGAAGTATCTGGGATTCGTGGGAGAAAGCCTCGCCTCCCATCCGGCATAAAGCTGGAGCCTCACACAGGCTGTTCTGAGCTCTTTCTGTCATATACTGAATTCCCAGAACCTTTTTCAGGAGACAAAATTTCCCCAGAAGGCTAAATTCGTTGTCCTTGGTCCCCACACCTCCTGGCCCCTATTTCTACCAAGACTTCGCAAAATTGAGGAAAGCTCACGTAACACTCTCCTTTCAACCAAGAATTCGTTTGTGGACATATCCTGACCCCAAACCAAAACCCCTGTAGCATCCTACTCCACATCCCATTTCTCTTCACTTCCTTAACCCAGACTGGGCCAGCCATGCCTGGAAAATGGGCAGGTAGAACCAGAGCAGCCCGGACAAGACCCAGGGGCATGGGGTGGGTGCCGCGAGCCCAGCACCTGCCCCAGCGAGCCTTGCTTCTCTCCGCAGGGCTTGTTTAGAAAGGCAGAGAAAATGCGCCTAGATGTGGGCAGGAAGGCTAGGAAGGTGCTGTAAATATACATTTATAACACTCTATTATTTATAATTTGCAACAACACCCAGCTTTATGGTTAGAGCGAGCAAGGGGTAAGACTCTCCAGCCTTTCACTTGCTAATGGCTGGTAGTGGTGGTGGGGAAATAGTTTAGGTTTTTGGCTCCTTTTATTTCTTCCCTCTCAGTTAGGATTTTGAGGAGAGGTTTCATTTATGGTAATTGGAATATCAATCTTCTCCCATCTGTGATGACATTGGATCCAGGAGGTGATAACTGTCCACTGTCCCTTGAAAAGGTTTGGAGCAAAGGGGAAGAAGGTCTTCTACAGCCCCCCACCCTAGGTGCTGCCACCTTTGCACTGGAGTAAAAAAAGACATAGGAACATTCGGCGTGGCTGCACGGGTGGAGTGTTTCTCAGAGCCCGGGTGAGGAAGCCGCTGAGAGAGACCCACTGAGCCGTCCAGGCTATTTAAGCCTGCAGATTCCCCAGCCACCTTCCAGGATGAGTCATTTCCTCCAAGGAGGGGTAGGGGAAGGTCAGTCTCACCCCAAGTTGCTGGTATCAAAGGCTCCTCAATCATATCATGGGGTATCCCAAAAGTCGCCCCGAAGGTCACCCCACACCCCACGTAGGGAAAATGGGAAATTGTAGCTAAATGCACCTTTATTTACAAAACATTCATTACAAAATTTTACAAAATATTCTCCACATGTTGGCCGATTCTTCATAAAATTTCATCATATTCTGTAAATAAAGGCATGTGTAGCTACAATTTTCCATTTTCCCTGTGTATGGTGACTTTGGGGACAACTTTGGGACACCCTGTATTTAAAGAAATCGAAACTGGGCTTTGAGGTAAAGCAATGGAACATCAGTAGCGGCTGGAGCCAGTGTCCATAGAGGAAGTGACCAGTGTACTGCTGCCCGCGGGCAGGGTTGGTGGCCCTCCAACTTTGGGACACTGAAATGTAGCTTCCAGACCAGAGTCTGGAAAGCCAGGACCCCACCGGGCTGAGCCTGTCCCAGAGGCAGAGGCAGAAAGAGTGGCACAGATCCTGCACCCAAAGGCTCCAGCCTGCACCCGGAGACTGACCAAAGGAAGCCTCCTCCCCCGAGCCGAGCCTCCTGACACCACAAACTCAACACCCTGGCCCTACCTCGGGCCTCGCCCTGAGTAGTGGAGAGTTTTCATACACGGTCATGGTAATTAGGTCAAAAAATAAGATTTCTGCACTACCAAGTTTGAGGTTCTGACGATGATTGTTTCCTCCAACTTGTTTACACTACCTGCCTTTGGCAGAGACGACTCAGGGGGGTGTCCTTCACCCCCGTCCTAACACAGCCCCATCCTCAACTGTGGCCAAGCCCAATAGTGCGGAGCCTGCAGAGCGGGGAAAGCAGGACACTGGCCTGGAGGCAGCCAGAGAGAAGCGCTCCGGCAGCGGCTTCTCCCGAGCACTCTCCTCCCGCTCACCAGCCTCAGCGCACCCAGTGCCCGCTCCCTCCCTGCAGCGAAGTGCTGCCTTTCCAGCTAAAGTCTCACTCCCCAGAGGCTCAATTAACCGGATTATTGTTTCCTATGGAGAGAAATTAACTCTCATTCAGCTGAACTCCGGAATCACTGAAAAGCCACGCACAATGAAACTCACCATAAAAAAATAATAAAAAAAAGAAACTCACCAAAAAGAAGGGAGATAAAAATGGAGGTAGGGTGTGGGGGGAAAGGCCCAGTCCACCGAGGCCAGTTTGGGAGAAGTGGCCTGTTTGGTTATGTAATCGCTTCAGGGGGGAGAGCAGAGTGAGCACTGAGCTTGTTCCATTAAGTGTGAGTTTTCTGTGCAGTCAACCCCGACGAAAAGTATTCCCCGACGAGGAAAAAAGACACCACCCGCATCGGGTCTTTTCTTAGACCTCACTCAGGAGCTGGGCCCTCATTGCTGTTCTCTCTTCACCGTGGGGTGTAAATACAGGATCTAGCTGCCGCCAGTGAGGGTGTAGCGGGAGCCACAGTGAGCGATGCATCGACCTGGGAAAACAGACCTCAGCGATGCGCGCATCGCCCGAGGGGCAGGGCCCACAGAGTCGCAAAGTCGCTTATCTCTCCAAGGGCTTCATGCCCTCGGATACAGGCACCCAGCCTTCCACCCTGCGGTGTGTGGGCAGCCCAGGTGTCAAGGAAAACCGTCACTATGCAGTCACACCCACATGGGGGCAACGGTAAACAGCCTGTTCTTTAGGACAAGAGCTGCTCTGGGATGAGCAGGGTTGTCCCTGCGTGCGGGTTTTTCTCCCCAGACTTTGGCTTTCAGCTCCCTCCCTGTCACGGTGGTGGGGGGAAATGGGACCAGACACAGAGGTCGCTACGCCAGGAACCCTGAGCCCCTCCCCAATGCCGGTAGGTTGGGTGGTTCTGTTTATCCCTCCAGGGGTGGGTGCGGCAAAATCTGGCAGGGTTCTCTGGGCTTTGGGTTCTTCCTCCATGAAGGCACTAGTGCATCTCAGCCATGTGGGTGCTTCTGCCGCAGTCCCCCTCAGTCAGGGTGCATGCCCTGTTTCCAAAGCCCTGGTTGTCCCGTTCTGAGTGCCTTTGCTGGATGCCACAGGGCCACAGTGGTCAGGAGTCACATTCACACAAATGCAGTGGACCAGCGGCTGGCTGGAGTGAGAGGGCTTGGGCAGCTGGCAGCGAGGCCTGGTCCTGATATGCCACTGTGTGTCCGCAGTGAAGGAGGAGGGTGACCGTGAGATCTCCAGCTCCAGGGACAGTCCTCCAGTGCGCCTGAAAAAGCCACGCAAGGCACGCACGGCCTTCACTGACCATCAGCTGGCGCAGCTGGAGCGCAGCTTTGAGCGGCAGAAGTACTTGAGCGTGCAGGACCGCATGGAGCTGGCCGCCTCTCTCAACCTCACTGACACACAGGTCAAGACCTGGTACCAGAACCGCAGGTGAGACCTGGGAGCGGGGCTAGGGCCGGATGGGTCTTTCCCCTTTCCTGACAGCTATTCCAGGAGACCAAGAGTCTACAGCCTGTGCTAAGGGAGGCCCCTTGAGCCTCCCTCATTCTATAAAAGTAGGGAAACTGAGGCCCTAAGAGGAGACAGTCTTGCCCCAAGTCCCAGAGTGAGGGACAGAGACAGGATTAGACTTAAGTATCCTGTGCCTACTCACACCCCTCTCCAAGACAGATGTACAGGCACAGAGGCCATCAGAGGTCCATGTCCTGCCCCACCCCACTGGGAGATCCTTCAGGGTGTCCCCCAAACCTACCAGCCCTCACCTGGGTCTGGCTTGGGACCTGAGAATTCCCAGAGGAAGTCCCATGGGAAGGGTGACAGCCTTGTGGAAGGGGACAAGCAGGCTTAGTGCAGGGGGCTGCTGCAGGTGACCCAGCTGTCACTGGGCTCCTCTGGCCTCCCCAACCTTCCCAGCCCCGAGATCTGAAGTGGGCGAGTGGGAAGTTTGCTTTGGGGCACTGGTCTTAAACTTGTTTCCTAATTTCCTTCCTGAATCTATTCACCAGACTCAGGTACACATGTACAAACCACACAGCCACACACACTCACATGGTGACACACACTGACATATTCACATTGACACAACTCACTGTCACACACACAGTCACCCTGTGCTTTTCATAAACAAGGCTCTGAACACATCGCCCCATTAATAATAAATACCGATTACTGCTCCGGGCATCAATAATTAAGACCCGTTATAGTAATTACACAATTATGATGATGATGAATAATTCAGGGAGGGGAACGGTGCTAGTGTAGTGGAGCCCACTTTGGTGGGACCCTGGCTGGCATGCTGGTCTCACCAGGCAGGTGCGCCCAAGGCTCAATGGCTAACCTGAAGCCTCCTCACTTCGGGGCCAGACAGGACTCAGAGGCTTGTCCCACACCTGGGGCCTGGATGCAAGGGTGGCAGGTGGGTGTGTTCTCTGCCAGCCATCCTCTCCAGCTGTCATCTCCAGAGGTGCTGCTGCCTGGGGTACCTCAGAAGCTCCTGCCTCTGCCTGGCCTCTTGTGGGAAGATTAACCTCACCCCTTTCCAGCACCAGCAGCCCCTCCCCCTCCCCCTCCCCCTCTTCAGGGGGATCCCACCTCCACACCCAGCAGTAAGGGCCTGAGCAGCATCTCCTGAGCAGAGGGCAGCCAGGTTAGAGCTAGGCTTTGGGTTCAGACAGCCCGCTTAGAATGCGGCCTCCTCACCTTCTCAGTTTTCTTTTTTATTCTTTTTTCTTGAGAGAGTCTCATTTTGTCGCCCTGGGTAAAGTGCTGTGGCATGATAGCTCACAGCAATCTCAAACTCCTGGGCTTAAGTGATCCTCTTGCCTCAGTTTTTCATTTTCTTTTAGTGGGGGGGCGGGGTCTCACTCTCGCTTAAGCTGGTCTGGAACTCATGTCTCAAGTAATCCACCCACCTCGGCCTCCCAGAGGGCTAGGATTACAGGTGTGCCTCCTCAGTTTTCCTATCTGTAAAAAGGAGATAAAAGTCAGGGAAGGCCTATGGACGATTAAAGATGAATGTAAGGCCAGTGAAGGAAAAGCGCCTGCAACGTTATTTATTCACAAGTTAGCACGATCCTGCCCGGGCTCCCTTCCGGCGCTCTGGGCAAAGCCATCGGAGGGATGCGGTCGCTGCTGGTCCAACCCCTGACTCTGCCCTGGGCATCTGTTTCGGTCCCCAGGACTAAATGGAAGCGACAGACGGCCGTCGGTTTGGAGCTGCTGGCGGAGGCAGGCAATTACTCAGCGCTCCAGCGGATGTTCCCGTCGCCTTATTTCTATCCGCAAAGCCTAGTTTCCAACTTGGACCCGGGCGCCGCGCTCTACCTGTACCGCGGCCCCAGCGCGCCGCCGCCCGCCCTCCAGAGGCCTCTGGTACCCCGCATCCTCATCCACGGACTCCAGGGCGCCGGCGAGCCACCCCCGCCGCTGCCTCCACTGGCCGGCGTCCTCCCGCGCGCCGCGCAGCCTCGGTGAGGCTCCAGCCCCGCACGCCTGTCGGAGGGCACGGAGTTCAATGCCCCTTCCAGGGAAGGGGCCCTGCGCAGTGTTCCCGACCGGCCACATGCCAAGTCCTCTGAGGCCCGGACCCGGACTTCGTCTCCCTAGCCCTCCTTGGCGTCCGCTCCCCCCGGCTGGCTGCTCCACCCGGGAGCCACTTCCACCCGCTGGGTGTACTCACGTCTCTGCCTCCTCCCGCCCCCCCGTCTCTGCCGGCTCCGCAGGGCGCCCCTTTACTCCCCAGGAGCAGGTGGGGTTCAAGCTCATGCTTCTGCTCCCTTCCTTCCCTGCTGCAGCAGCGGACCAACCCCTCTCCCCGCACCCTGCCGTGGAGAGAAGGGGCGTGCAGAGCTCCCCACCTCATCCCCGCGTCCGGGCCGGCGGCTGGGCTGTACATACTGTGTGCAAAGTGTATATGAAGTTATTTATTCGTGATCCATGAGCCCGTGACCGTGTCCGTGAATTAGTGAGTTTGTGGCCTGTGCCCCCCAACCCCCACCCAGGCGGGGAAGGAAGGGGTCGTAGGGGCTCGTCTACCCACCTGACCCCAGTCCCCACCCCTGGCCAGGCTTGTCGGGTTCTCCCTTTTTTAAATGTCGAAATAAACTTCTTACAAACGACCAGGCGCCTGTCCCGGCTCCCGTGGGTCTGTCCACACTCAAGCCCCTCTCCTCTGGCCTCAACAACGATTTTCCTCTCCCTGGACTAGGTCTCCTTCCGTCCTCAATAATGAAATGTTTTTGTTCCCTTCCTCTTCCTTGGTGCTGTGGACATGTGCAGGGGCCGGTGGGACTCGCAGGGGCCTCGGGATGGGGTCTTCCCTCCTGGCCTCAGTCTTACCATCTCTACGAGGCCAGCTAGTTGCTCCCACCTCCCCTTCCCCTCCATCTGGTTCCTCGCTGCTCCCAGACGGTCTGGGGCCGGGGGCGGGGGTCAGCGCCTAGCCTCACTCGGCTTCGGGAAGGGCTGCGGTGCCCTCGCTGAGCCGACTCATCTGGCTGCGACGAGGGCCCCGGCAGCTGGTGACCGGCCCGGCGGGCGCAGGGCGGACAGATGGGCTCCGAGGCTGCTCCCTCCATCACCCCCACCCTCCACCCGCTCGGGCTTCCAACACTTGCGGGCGCCAAGGCGGCTCTGGTCTCCAGTGCGTGGGAGTCAGCGCTCCTTCCCTACAAACCTGAACCTGACGCCACATGGGGAACTGCCCCCGTGTCGGCATTTTCTCACTTCCCCATTTACCCCAAGAGGAATTTGGAAGTGAGACTCGGAGGGGAGCCGAATCCCAACGTCTGCCCCATCCTATCCCACTGCTCCGTTCTGTGGCTACAGGACCTCACGGGAGGAGCTTTAATTCCTGAGTCAGACTCCAGGCCTTCGGTTCACGTTAGGGCCAAGGTCACCTTCCAGTCCCTCTTGGGAGGCTGGCGCAGGTGTTCCTCTCCCACACGCCACCTGCAACTCCCTGACCCTAGGGGCTGGGACGTTTCGGGGCCCAGCAAGCCCTGCCCCCTCTTGTCTTGTGGCGGGGTTGTCCGGAAGGACTGCCTGGTGGAGGGGTGGAGACTGTCCAGACTCCAACCCCCTGGAAAGCAGACTCACGGCCAGGGCTGCTACTGTTTCCTCCCCGCCCCCCAACACCCCAGCGCGGCAGCTTTTCTTTCCCGGGATAGAGAGGGTATTATTCTAATTTTGCAAAATGCACAGCAGCTAATTAAGTCAAGGAGCCTCTCGGCTTTCGAGTTCTTTTGCATGTGAATGGGGGTTGGTAAATCCGCAGCTCTGGCTATGGTGGGGGGCGAGGAGGGACTGTCCCCAACTCAGGGTTAATGAAGTGGGAAAGGAGTCTCTCATAGCCTCCTGCAAACAAAACCCCCATGCAACAAACCCTGCCCAAATCCGACATGGATTGACTTAAACCCAGGGGATAAGTGCTTTAAATTAATCTCATTGAATAAGAATGAGACCAAACAAAACTCTTTAAAATCATATTAAAAACCTATCAAAGGACAACTTGCACTGGTGTGCTTTTCATTTTGTGAGAGTGGAGGAGAAGACTGGAGCAACCACCCTCACATTTACACAGCAGCAGTGTAAATCACAGGCACATTCTCAACTATGTAATTGTCCTTGTACCTCAGAGGCGATTTCATATCTTACATTAATGAAGAACAAGGCTTCCCTACAAGTTTATAATTACAATATTTTAAATTGTCCTGCACATCCGTCTGTAATAATGACTTCGCAGCCTTCACCGTGAGGTGGGCTTCTGCCTTCACCCATTGGAAGGCTAAATTGGTTTCTCTGTTTCCAACCGCGGGGGCTGGGTGAGCTTTCATTTAAAAAAGAAATGGCTGTGGGGAAGGACACTGAACAATAGGAGGGGCTCCTCCTCCAGCCACCCACCCCCTTAGCAACCTGGACTCAAATGGGGCAGGGGGCAACAAAGTTTAAAAGAAGTTCAGCTCTCCCTACTCGGCTTCCGCAAAGGCCTCACTGGGAATTTTTCCTGTGGTGGAGCAGATTAAGAGATAAAGTATAACGGTCATGGAGGTGATTAACAAGACCGGTTAATACCCTTTCAAGTAGGGCAACTAGTAGAAAAGCCTTCCATTTCTCACCTCTAAGGAGTGATGGCTGGATTTGAAGGCTTCCACTGACCGCATGGAGAAGAGCTACCTGGAGCGGGGAAACAGCAAGGGCACTGGCAGTTTGTTACACACTAGACTTAAAAGGTCTCATTTACTCCCCTCTTCCCTAAATCTCACCTCTCCTCACTCCAGGGAGAAAAGAAAAAAAAATCAAAGGAACCTGTTAGGCTTTGTCAAAAAATACTCTTTCTGCTCCAAGAGTGGAAAGTGCTGTCTGCTGCATCAGCACCGACTTCCTCCCTCACCCAGGGCTCTGTATCCTTAGTGACGAGTGGGACCGGGCCCTTCTGAAGACTGGCAGCCCCTAAGGATTGGGAACATGAGGATGTTTTAGATCCCCAAAAGCCTTCTACAAGCCCACTAGAGAAAAACAATTCAGGATGCAACATTCCAATAAATGCCCAAATTCTCTGACCTTAAATGTGGGAACCAGGCTTATGACAGGGATATGGGTAAGTTTGGGAAATTAAGAAAAGAGACATGATTAAACATTCACATAAAAATTATATTATGTACAACAGAATTGGGCTAAAGCTTTGCCTAATTGATGCCTGAAATGTATAATCTGTCAGGAGCCATAATAAGAGAAAGAGATTTATTTAAGATAATTTAAATAATATTAACCCTTAATCTGCTAAATTCATGTTTCTTTAGTAACTGGGATACATTTATTGATTCATACATTGATTCTACACAGAAACACATCCAGAAAGCGTGTACGGCAGGAAACCCTCGCCCAAGAGTTAGCACACCAGGTGTGTAAATTTTGATCTCGGGATTACAGTCACTTACACTTTGCACCATTCTAACACTTCTCTCCCCCAGCAGGAATGTGATGTCTGCCAATTCACCCTTTTATGAAATCAACACTGTGGGAAAAAAGTAAGGTTTCTCTTTGATCAACCCCAATCACTGGCATTAATCCTGTTTTTCACACAACTGGGTTTTGTCTATAAAGTTTGATCCCTCATTTTCTCATCCAAATTACGTGAACCATTACACATTGAAATAAAAGAAAGGTGGCAGATTTGCCCAGTTTGATGTACGCTATGGTTCTTTTTTTTTCATTATTATCATTACAAATTTCACCAAGAGTCTCTATGAGTTTGTATGTGACTGCCAACTCTGAGAAGGTCCAGTTTTTCCTCAGGCAGAGGATCAATTCTCACTAGGCCCACACCACCCCCACACTGGAGCCTTTTCTGGTGATGGCATCAGCTGATGCTAGCCTGTGTGTGCCTGGAACAAGGCAAGGACGCTGACTCCTCCGTGGTCTGCGGAAAGGCCCACATTGCCCCTCTCACTGTCCTCTCCTGGTTGTTTAGCTCAGGGGAACCTGGGAGTCTGAAATGCAGCCTCAACACTCATCCTAGGAAACCACGGATGAGACCAACCAGGGAGGACAGAGGCTTTTAACCCTTTCTCTTTTGGACCCCTCTCAAAGTGTCCAAATCTTACATTTATTGGGAAATCAATACGCTCCAGGGGGCCTCCTTCAAACCTCCCAGAAAACACAAGGAAGGGGGAGGACAGCTGTGGCCTAGGTTACAATACAAAGACCCCCAGACTTTTCTTGAAGATGGAATTTGATGTGGGGGTGGGGAGAAGCTCAGACACTGGTGCCTTTTGACTTCAAAGGCAAATAATAAAAAGGCAACAGTAAATCAATTAGCCCTGAGAGAGTGAATTTTCTGTGGGCACGAAAGGAGCGATGTAGGTAGATGAACACTGTTCTTACAGAATCACTCCTACTGTGCCTGAAAACACATTATATTTTTAAGCCAGACCAAAAGCTTTGTCCTTTTTAACAAAGCATCCGTGCATAAAAATGATTATTTGATAACTATCTTTTTCTCTTTTTACAAATTCAAATCCAGTTTTTGCCATCTTCCCAAAATTAAAGCCAAAATATGCATAGATAGGGCTTAAGTGAAACTTCTGAACTACTGAATGGCAACAATCCACCCCCTGCGGGATGATGCACAGGGCACTGCCACATTAAGGGTGGGCACAAGCTCATCTAGGGCAAGTCAGGGCCTGGGTGAAGGCGAATGGACCGGATGGGATCCATACAGACATAACTCCTGTTACTTGGCTAGTTCATGCTGTGCTGACTCTCTCTACCGCTGACTTCTATCAGAGCTCCTCCCACAGAAGATAAGGGCTGGGGCTCCTGCTGAGACTTAGTCTTCAGGGGAAGGCCCCGTTGCTTTTCATAGGGCTCCTCTGACAAGGGGGGACCATCCAGTGCCACTGGGGCCTCTAGGATCCACTCTGACACTTAGTTCTGTGGAGAGAGATTTTAAAAAAACTGGGAAGTCTTAGTCTTTCAGTAAGCCTTTTCTAGTCTTTTTCTGCTTGTCAATTTTTTCCCACGGCCAGGCGAGGGGTGCTGGCTGGGCCGTGCTGCAGGGCTGGCTGCCGGGCTCTCCGTTTGTCTTGCTTCTTGACCTTGGCGACACTGGCCTCCAGCCCACTTGAGTATTCAGAACGTAAGATTTCAGCAAGGTGGCGTTTACTCTGGGTCTTCTTAGGAAGGTCAGGCCTGCAGAACAGCAACAAGCAGAGGGGAGAAGAAACTTTATTATTTTTTTCTTTCCTATTTGGAAAGAGGCTGATGGCAGCTGGTTCCAAGATTGTGAAGCTGACATTTTTGTATTAACAGAAGTACAATCCCTTCAATACTGCTTGTTTTGATATTCCATGCACCAGAAGATTAGATACTGAGCTGACAGATTTTTTTCATAACGGTGGCAAATATCACGGCATTTTTAAAAGTGAAGCTTTGTTCTATGTTGTTTTCATGGGAAAAAAGGAACTATACACCCTCACACTCTGATGGCAAATGAGGTGTGTGATACAGCAGTTTGCCAAAGGACAGGGAAAAACCACCTTACAACTCAACAACACGAAGCAGTGAAGGGAAGCCAGCCGCTCTGGTAATCCTGACTGTTCAGAGCAACTGGCCTCCTCCGGGGAAACCGGCAGCCTGGGACTCAGCCCAGTGGGAGCAGAGCCCAGCGGGGTCCATGCGGCCCTACTGGGTCCAAACTGCAAAGGCTGGGCCTTTGCCATCAGTCAGATAGCTATTCATTGACTGAAAAGATCTTAGAAAATATTTGTAAACCCAAACTCAAGGTATAGGCTTGTCAATTCTGGACCAAGGTTTAGAACACCAACCTTCTGTGACCCACACAGACCTGCCTAATCCACTTGGATAATGCCAAAGGTTGAAAACCAACCTTGGATAGTCAGTTGCAATGACTGTTCTCAAGAGACAGTCTTACAACATGATCAGAAGATCAGAGGAAGCTGGTAGATGTTCAATCGCACACAAGAATGATTATGAAAATTGATCAGTAAAATAATGTTTAAGAAGGGATTTTTTTTTTTTTTTGAGACAGAGTCTCATTTTGTTGCCTCTGATAGAGTGCCTTGGTATCATAGCTCACAGCAACCTCCAACTCTTAGGCTTAAGCGATTCTCTTCCCTCAGCCTCCTGAGTAGCTGGGACTACAGGAACCCACCAAACGCCCAGCTATTTTTAAAGACAAAGTCTTGCTCTAGCTCAGGCTGGTCTTGAACCCTTGAGCTCAGGCAATCCATCCACCTCAGCCTCCCAAGTGCTAGGATTACAGGCGTGAGCCACTGTGCCAGGCTTAAGAAGGGATTTTAATCAAAATAATTAAAAGCCATTACTGATAAATCCAAACTGCCTTGATGGCAGTTTCTTCACTCCCAAAATGTCAGTGTCTCAGGATGACATGGAATCATAGAATTCTTACAAAAAGCAAATGTTATAGTTAGTCGTCTGTGACCAAAATAAACACAACAGATGCCTTTAAAATTCAAGAATTAGAAACAAGACTGATATTGTGCTATTAACCTGACTACAAAAGCTTCCAGAAGCCCATTATAACTGGGTTAAAGCATTAATACCTATTTATAAGCATACCCCAGAGAACAGGGTTACAGTTACAATGGTGTTTTCTAAGGTAATATACAGAAAGAAACACAAATCCAACCTTTGTGGGGAAAACAGATTTGAAACCAGGGGGTAGTTTGGAGATGATAAGGAAGGGTCAGAGTTTATAGGGTGTGCATGGGCCAGATGCAGGGTTTACCAAAAGACGGCAGGACACAGGACACTGCGCAATTCTGTGTGAGATGATTTATGCACATTATGTTCCACAGTCCTTGCTCAGTGAAGTGGATGTGACTGTTACCCTCACTACAGATAAGGTCACCAAGATTCAAGGAGGAAGTGACTTGCCCAAGACCATTTAGATGGTCAGCCAGGATGCAACCCAGGGCAGGTAGACTCAAAGCTTATGCTCTTCCCAGTAGGTTGCCCATCCTGGAGGAGAGAGCAATTTGCAGGACCACGGGTAGAAAATGGCCATGATGTGACATGGGGGAGTCCTTTGTGGTCTCCTAAGGACTGTCCCAGTAAGATGAGGGGACAGGAGCCAGACGATGACGGAGTAAGGAGAGGTGAGAGAGCAGGGCTACGGGGTGGCTCTGTCACTCATTAGCTGAGGACATGGAATGAGTCACTCCAGCTCTGTGCCGCAGTTTCCTCCCATGGGAATGGGGACGATATTGAAAATGGAGCTCACAAGGCTCTATATGTTAGATAAAGTGAAACATTAAAAATGCCAGCTGGTGGCTGTCATGTGGATTTCAGCCTCAGTTAAAAATGAAGTCCAGAGAAGCTGTGCACCTCCCCAGGCCACACAGGAGCCAGTGTGGACGCAAAAGCTCTTGATGGCTGGGCCAGGCCCCTCTGATAGCATTCCCCACTTCCTAAAGGGCAGTGGCCCTGACCAGGGGATGCCTGCCCCTGAGGACCATGTGTACCACAGCCCTGGTGGCGGTCCAGGCGTCGGCAGGCTGACGTGTGGTTGGGAGCAGGGAGACAGGCCTACAACTGCGAACGCTCCACTTCTTCCAAGCTGAAGCCTGCCAGTTCTTGTGCTTGTAGTTTATTTTTAGTCAGGTTACATGACAGACAGAGTGAAAAGGTTCTGACAGGAAGGAATGCTTTTTCTTCCATCTTGTTTGAAGCCAGGTTCACAATATGTATAATTTTTAAATGTAACAACCTGAGTTTCAAAATATGCAAAATTTCAGTTAAAATATTCTCCCCAGCCTAAGCTCTCACACGGCAATGATTGCTCCTGCCACTGCTAAGCAAAATAAATAAGCAGGATCTTATTTGGGTGATTGATACGCCTATTGCCTGTAGAGATAGCAGGGTGTGGGGGCATCTTCCCGCCCAAGTGTGTTCACACTGCCATCCACTACATAGGGCCAAGAGATCGGCTCCAATGCCCACACCCAGGTGTGATCCACGCAGCGGGGGACGCTTCCATAGTTCCTTGAAACTATCCCTTCACAGACAAACACAGATGGGTCTGAGGCAAAGAAGGCAGTCGCCAGTGGGTATGCTATGCCACGGAATGGGAATGTTTACGGAGAACCTCCGAGTCCATGCTGCTGACTTACAGAGCATGTTGTGGACAGAGTCCTGCCTGCCTTCATATTTCTGAGCTACTTCACACTTCATTCTAGTCCTTTTACCTGTGACACAGACCTGGCAGTCCACTAGCGCAGAGGCCCTTGCTGGTCCAGCCAGAGAGCAGCGCTCACATTCTCCAGACCCTCTCTCTTCCTTGGGTGGAAGACCCCTGGGGTTGATTCTGCAGGGGTTTCACCTGCTGTCACGACAGCTACTCCAATAGGATCCGGGGTCCCTCAGACCGCTCCCTGTCTCCTTTTCCTTTGTCCTGAGGCCCAATGATTAAATGGTAAAGTACAGATGGGAAGATGAACTGTCTAAACCCAAGCATGGGATAGGCGCTCAATTTCTCCTTCTGCCAAGCCACAGTGCTCCTAGGAACCTGCCAACTTTTTTGCCCTCCTTGCCCTCCAAATACCCAAACCCCTCTCAAATGGGTTTCTCCACCATAGTAATCCTTTAGTTACCAAGCAACAGATCAGTTTATCTAACCACAGGGAACTCCCTTGTAGTGAAAGCTAAATAACCCCCCATTCGTTACCAGGCTGGATCACTCAGCAGGACGGGCAGATGCCACTTGCACTGCCAATAGGGTGAAATCACAGCCTAATTAGTAAATCAATATATTCTCCTACAGTGACCACTAGACAACGAGATCGCAGGACCACCTCTCAATTCATCCCCAAATGCACAGCTAAAACGTCTCCCAAGCTAAAATGTCATTTTAACAAGGGCTTTCGTCATTCTTTTACAGGACAGAATTTAAAACTTTATTTATGTGCTGTTAAGTCTGTCAATAGTCTATGTTTATGGCTTTAGGGTCACACTTAGAGAAGACTTCATCCTAGGACTTCAAAAACATTCAAGCATATTATCATCTAGTCTGCTATTGATTTAATTCCATCCAGGTTTTACTGTGATTTATGGTTATGATGTGGAGAATTTATTTCTTCTCAGAATCATCCAGTTATCCACAACAGTCACTGAACAATAAATCCTCTCCCCAAGAGTCTGAAATGCATGTTTAGCACTTTCCCATCTGATTTTCAGAACCTTCCTGCGGGCTGGGTTTAAAGAGCAGTCCGTGACAACTACACTGATAATGGGCCTCACCAAATGGATTACAACATGCCCAGGACCGCAAGGCAAGAGCCCCGATGCGAGACCGGAGATGGGAACTCCTGAAGTCTGACTCCTCAGCTTATGCACCTAACCGCCATGCTGCAGTTTTCTAAATAAGTTCCTTGTGTGAAATATTTTAATGTAAAACAATGTTCTTATTACCTCAAATCTCAAAGACTTCTGGAACCTGAAAAAGTATGTCTGAAAAGTAATAGTTGAATAACTAAAGTGCAAAAAGCAAAAAATCCTCCATGTTCAATCTCATTTTAGACAAATTATAATTTCATTCTAGAACAACAGAAAACTCCTACCTGTATAAATGCAAAGAAAGTCTAAAGGACATTAAAATGTGAAGCAAGGGGACGCAGTTGTGGGCTTATGGGTAACTTCTTAGCTTTTCTCTATGTCCTGGATTTTTATACTGAGCATGCATTATTTTTATAAATAGAAAGCAACTGTATATTTACTTTGGTGGGGGAAGCAAATGGTCTTAGAAAAACTGAAATACTAAAAAATGAAAACGATTAAAAAGAAAAGAAAATGGTAGAATTTTATCCTAGTCGGGTGAAATGAATTATTTTAATTTCTTATTCGAACCCTCTGTCTTCTGGCTTTCAGTTTGATTGATTTTGTGAGTTTTTTCTGAAAGTGATGTAAGTAAAACAGACAGGGAGACTGAGGCCTTGTCAGACTGGACACCGGTCAGGTGTACTCCATGACCTGAATGAGTCTGCCTTGTAGTGAAGGTTCCAGGGACTCCGCAGGCCCTGAAGGGCTCTGCTAAGGAAGCACGTCCCAACTGCAAGAGAAGCCTGGACTCTAAGGGCTCGCAGGAGGAGACAGGGATGACGTCAGTTGGCCTGTGGCTGACTAGAAGTTTCTATATGTGTGCCTACCTACAC